TGTAAATTTCTTCATCTGTAAAGTAAAATTGTTATCAAATAGAAGTCATCTTGATGCGATAAAGGACAAATGCTATAAAATGTACAAAAATCAATGGTTTATGGATGTATTTCTGTGAATGGACCTAGAATCACATGAAGGCAGTTCTATTCAAAATGTATGATCTTTTTAGAATCCTTGGGCAAAAATTATATCAAATATGAATAAATTTTAATATATAAATGAGGCTTGATTGTAAAGCTAACCTTAACTTTATCTTCGATTTTTGGTTTTTCTACCAAAAATTAGGAAACTTGGAAATTATAGTGTTTTGGCCTACTCAAATGTTTAAGGATATACTCTTATAGTGTTTCTACCAATAGATGATATTTTCAAATATTTTATTATATAAATTATTTTTTATCATTTAGTATATTTGTTGTTAGAAATTTATCACATCACCCTTTTAGAGTATTTTTCTAAGCATGGGTGTAAGTTTCTTTTACCTAGGTTAGTTAGGTCCCTTCCTAAAAGCAAAAATAGACATTGTAGTCATGCAACTGGTCTCAAAATCATGTTACAATATTAGGTTTTCTTACATATTAGTGTAATTATGATAATATAAATTTACTATCTCTTTATGTCATCATCAAGATTATGTCTCCCAAAACTAATGGAGAGCTGATCATATACTTTAATAATGTACATTAGCAGTCATGTTTGGCATAAGTATTGACATGACTTAGTTGTTGTATAGTAAATCATGTAAATTTAAAATTTATAAAACAAGAAAATACCAATTTTTAGATACTTAGAAGTATTTTTGAATAAATAAATCAATTATAATTCAATAAAATTTCTAAAAATATTGATAATATTTTAGGTCGATCACATGGAAGTAAAAAATAATATATGATAATATTTTAGAATTTTTTACAAAGAATATAATTTTTTTTATGAATTTTAGACAAAAAAATGAAAATAAAATATATTTAAAATTTCTGAAAAAAAAGAAATAAGGGGTGCAGATGTTAAGATGATGTCACTACCCTGACGAATGTAAATCGGGTAGAAATAGAGTTTTGTTTGGTAATTCTTACTTAAGCAATTGTAGATGATTTAATTAATCAAATTAAGATCTTTAAAAGCCAAAAGAATTGTAATTGAATGAAGAAATAATTTAAAAATAAAAATCACATAAACTATCATTAAATGAAGTGAAAATTAAGTTGAAAGTACGAAAGGTTGAGTCTCAGTATTGCGACAATGATCGTTGAAATTTTGTATGTTTGACTAGATCATCAAATAATGTCCACGGCCTAAAAGGCTCTCCTTGGACATGGATGACTTGGGAATTCACTAGATCTCCTTTAAAAGTCCAGAAAATGATGATTGTTAAAGCTAGATTTATATGTTTTAATTAATTTTATTTTGTTAACTTGTAGAATAAATATAAGATATATTATTAATTTTAAAAGTTTGAAGTTAGAATACTTAGCATAATTTGTGATGATTAAAGTAAAAATAATAAAATATAAAAATTATTCTACCCATTGGCAAGCCAGCACTCAATAGCTGACCCAAAGGAGGGACAACGGTCGAGTGGGTAGACTCAGACTAGGGGAGCCATGAGCTAGGCTTGAGTGGCGAAGGCCTCGCTCTTTGCATGTGTGCATTGCTCCCCTTCCACATCTCGATGGCCAACTGGTCGTGGGGCAAGGAGCACTCATACATATGTGTGCACACGAGGGCAGACCACCTTATTATCTTCTCTCAAGATGGTCCTAGACATTATTTTATTTCGGGAGAAGGAATCTTTACTAAGAGATGTAGCTTTAATTTATATATTGACATATGTTCTGAAATATTTCCAATGTAAGACTAAATGTTTTCATCTGTTTCAGTGCAGCCATATAGAGTGCAGTGTGATCCAGCAGTACACAGAGAGCCACGTCATCTGATTAGCTTGATCTTGCAATTGGCAAACCACCACGATACTAGATGCGTAAAGTGATCCATTAGCAGTTTGTGAATCCGACACTACTCGGCACGCATGTGGCCTTAAAGGCCAATATGATGGCTATGGAGGCACCACAGTACTAGAACTTAAGTTCTTGGTTGACAGTAGTTTGTGGCGGGTTGATTTTGTGTCGCTTAGAGAGCCATGTGGCCAAACTCATCTGATCTAGTAGCTCATAGAGTGTCACGATACTAGGAACTTAAGTTCTCATATGTATCATTATCAAGGATATAAAGACAATAATTGATTATTATTTGAAAAAATAGATATTATCGATTATCTTTAAAATCTTGATGGTAGTTGCGAATACAATAATTTTTTCGTCCCTCCTTTTGTGCGATTGACGTCTACGACGATTGACAAACTTCTTCCTTTCTCCCCCGACTACACTCAAGGCCTTCGACGAGTGGTCAACTCTTCCTTTCTTCCCCAAACGACTGTGATAGTGTGGTTGACCCTTCTTTCTACAGATTTCTCTAGCAAGTGGCAAAACGCTTCTAGATGATACTTTTGCGACTTCTGACTTGGATAATGATTTATTTCCTACTTTCAACATTAGTGTGCCACCACACTAGTGTCTCCAATTGCCTAAGAGGTAGACTAAACTTGGATAATGATTTATTTCCTACTTTCAACATTTACTTATCTACTTTTGTCATTTATTTACATTTTATGACAAATTTATTATTTCTATTAAATATTAATAAAATATTAAAATCACTTTATATATAAATTAAATTAGTTTTACAATAGATTAATCAATCTCTTTGTGTTCAACCTGAGACTAACTTCTATATTAATATTTTATTAAGTTTTAATTATAAATATTATTAGGAAGTGTGCATTTAAACACAACGACAAGTGCACACCATGAAATATATCATCTTTGATCTTAGTAAGATCAATCAATTGAAAATATAATATAAACATTTCTTATAGTTCTGCATGAGTGGGGAGGCAAGATAAAGCATCTACCACTTTATTATATCTCTCTACTTTAAATTGAATTTCGAAATCTAGACCCACAATTTAATCAACCACTTGTGATAAGGATTTAGTATGATCTTTTGCTCAAGTAAAAACTTCAAGGATTTTTGATCAGTGCAAATTATAAACCTTTGAGTAACAAGTAATGGCACCACCTTTGGACAGACCTTACTATAGCAAATAATTTTGTTCATAGGTTGATTTAGCTTGTAGTTGTTTTGATAAATTTTAACTGACATAAGTTATAGGTTTGTCTTCTTGCATTAATACAGCTCTAATGCCATAATTTGAAGCATTTGTTTCAATGATAAATGTCTTAGAAAAATCAAGGATAATACTGAAGTTGTAGACATTGCCTTTTTGTAGTTGATCAAAAGCACATTGGACATCTTGATTCCAGAAAAATGATTCTTTCCTCAATAGTTTAATCAAGGCTACTACAATTAAAGCATATCCTGCACAAAATGATGATAGTAACCAATTAGTCTTAGAAACGATCGTAATTCACGAACATTCTTTAGAACTGGTCAATTTGTCATAGTATTAATTTTTCCTTGATCAACCATTACCCCTTTAGTAGAAATTCAATGCCCATGATATTCTAGTTTGTGTTGGCCAGTGTGACACTTCTTTGTGTTCACATGTAATTAGTTCTTGAATAGTACTTTGAATACTTGTAAGAGGTGTTGTTCATGTTGATTTTTGTCTCTACTATAAACTAGAATGTCATCAGAAAAAACCAAAACAAATTGACGAATATATGGTTGAAAAATCTAGTTCATCAATGATTGAAATGTAGTAGGAGCACTCTTTAAACCAAATGGCATTACCACAACTTTATAATGCCCCTCATAGGTTTTAAATGTTGTTTTAGGAATGCCATTTTTCTTCATTCTAATTTGGTAATAGCCAAATTTTTAAATCCAATTTTGAAAATACTATCAGACTATATAACTCATTTAGTAACTCATCTACTACAAGAATATGGTAATAGTTGGGCATAGTCATTTTTTTTAAGGCACAATAATCCACGCAAAATTGTCATCCCCCATCTTTCTTTTTTACTAAAATTATTGGGCTGATGTAAAGGCTTTGTGATCGTTGAATTATACTTTCATCACCAAGTTCTTGAATGATCTTCTCAATTTCATCCTTCTCATAATGTGAATGTCTAATAACCTCAAATTGACAGGTTTAGCTCTAGGGTAGACATAGATCAAATAATTTGTCTCTCTTGTAGGAGGTAATTCAGTTAGTATAGAAAAAACTTGAGGGAATTGGCTTTATTTTTGTATGTTCTTGAGAAGTTTTTGGTACTTGGTATAATTCTAGTAATAAAAGTTGATTCTTTTTTCCTTCCCATTCACCATGAATTTCACTAATTAATAGCCACCAATGAACATGCATCCATTTTATTGTTCCCAACCACTATATACCAAGTATGAGGTATGTGCTCCCCAGTTGCAAAGATAAGAAATCTTATGCAATTACCAGCCCTTGTATTTGTAGAGTAACATCTTTACAATTTTCCTACCCTTTAATAGTATGACTATTACCCATAATGATGCCATAACTCATGGATTCATTTAGAGGTAACTCATGGACTCACACATAAAATTATGTGTGGCCCCATAGTCCATTATAATAGTAACATCAATTTATTTGGTCAATCATCTTCTAGTTCCTACTGAATCAATTTATCATCAGAATGAACAATTAAAATGTGAAAAATCTTCTTACAACGATGACCATATCTATATTTATCATCATAATGGAAGCATAAACCTTTGATCCTGCATTCATGAACTTCAACATTTGTTAACTAAATTTGCCATCTCTATCTGCCTTGTAAAGAATTTCCATCCATCCTTATTTTCTTTATTTCATTTTCAATTATTGACTTGCGAGGCGACTTCAGCCTTTTCTCATCATTTCTTACAAGATTTTCTCTTGATGAGGGAAATTCTATTGTCCTTGATGTGTAGCCAAACATAGAATGATACTTTGTTCTAATTTATTTAGGTAAATTGAGATGCCGTGCTTCACACAAGGTGTGCAAGTGTTCCTCAGCCTCCAAAGAATTGTCCATTATTTCTAATAATGACATTGGCTTTGTTATGGACAATTTGAACTTAATTTCTTGCTTTAAACCTTTCAAATATATTTGCTCTAGGACTAGCTCTAGAATTTCAGGAAGAAAGGTAGAGAAACCTTCAAATTCAAGTCTATAATCAAATATAGATCCTCCCTATTTGATGCCAAGAAATCATTGATACATGTTTCCTACTTTGAAAGTTCCAAAACACCTCTCAAGTTGGCTGTGAAAATCTTGCCAATTCTTGAACGGATATTTATCCTCTAGCTAGATATATCATTCAAATGCAATATCATCTAAGTGTAAGCTGAATAAATCATTTAAATGCATATGTTCTAAATGGGCATGTCATAAGTTTTCATTATCATGAATTAATAATTAGTAAATAATATAGTTTTATCCTTAAATCATGATAAATAGACTTATATTTGTGTTAAAGTGTGAAAAGTGGTTTTCAGTCTTATTTTTGAGATATGCAATTTTTGGGTAATTATGTAATTTTATACGAATTTAGATAATTTTTACAATCTTATTTTTGAGATAAATGAAGAAAGATAAATAAAAATAAAAATATTGGAAAATAAGGAGACCCATTGGCCAGTCAGGCCAGTGGCCACTCCCCTTCCACATCATCAGTGACCAGCTAGCTATAGGGCAAGGAGTGGTTGTACATGCGAAAGAAAGGATTTACTTCCAAAATATAATATTACTATATATCACTCGAAACTTTGGTGCACAAGCGATGTAGGACTAAACTTGCATCACACCTTCTCAAGAAAGGGTTTGAATAGAGATATACCTTAAAAACCTACAAGAAAAGATTTTAATACTTAAAAACCCTTTATTTATAATAGAGATATACTATGATGATGTCATTTTATAAGGACATTAGAGTACTTATGTCAATTTCTCTCATGTAGGCAAGCAATTGACATAGGTTTGAATTCTCCCAAAGCCAAAATTTATATTTCTTAATTGATTATCACGACTTTTCTATAGATCACCGGTGAAGGATTAAGCAACTAGAATTGCTAGATCATCGACAAAAATCTCATCAACGCGATTCATAGAGCATTGTTACTAAAATTGTTAAATGATTCATGATAAAAGGATCGTGAATCCATCGAGTAAAGGATCTCCAATTGATCGACAAACAGGCCATCTTCGAGAAGAGGACGATCCACCGCGAAACAAGTCGCCACCTTCTAAGAACGTACCAGATGCGATGAAGAGCCTCCTCTTATTGTGCAGACCTAAGGATGAAGCTCCTTGACATACGCCCCACCTCTATTCAGCTTCTCTCCATCAGGTGACAACTGTTGGAGAGCTGCAAAGTTGTCGTTTTTTTGCCTTGCTGGGTGACAATCGCTGGAGACGATTCGATGACCCATTTCATTAATCTCTAGACTTTGCAAGGAGATTTAGAGATTGTCCACGTCATCCTTGTCTAGTACATCGTTAATGTATAACTGCTGCGATGCTAGAACTCTGTTTTCCTACTTTTAACTTAATTTCTATTTCATTTAGTGATAATTTGTTGATTTTAAATTTACCAAGATATACTTTATTTCATTATGATTCTTTCGACTTTTACAGATCTGAATTTGATCAATTAAATTATTTGTAATCGCTTACGTAAGAATCGCCAGGTAGAACTTTGTTTCCATCTGATTCGCATTCGTTGGGCACTGACGTCATCTTGACGTCTGCACCCTTATTTCCTTTTTTTGTAAATTTTAAATATATTTCCTTTTCATTTCCTAGTATAAAATTCATAGAAAATAGTATTCTTTGCAAAAAAATTCTAAATAATTTCTAGATATTAGATTACATTCTTGTGATTGATCTAGAAAATTATTGCTATTTTTGGAAGTTTTATGGAATTATAATTGATATATTTGTTCAGAAATACTTCTAAATATCCAAAAAATCATATTTTTTAGTTTTATAAATTTTAGATTTACGTGATTCAATAAACAACGACTAACTCACGTCAAATTTTAACACCATTGCTGGGGATGTACTACATAATATTTAGTACTTTTCTATTTTTCTCTTAGAGTATATATATATATAAAACTCTTATTTTACTTTCTTCTTACTGATTTTTTTTAAAAAAAAAGAACAAAGAAAAACAAGGCAAGGACTGGAGCATATTGAAGGAGGATAATAATTACTAAACTTTTTTTCTTAAATTTATCGATTTTTTATGTATGGTAGAAGATCCTTGCATCCAAGGCTAGAAAACCCTTTTATTATTTGATTCAAAACTAAAAATCCAAAAGAAAAATTATTTTTGATGGATCCTGAAGAAAGTATAAGTCAAATTGAGAGCAATCCTATGGCCATGAAAAATCATTATATCCTTTATTCATTTCAAAGAGCATCCAATATTAGAGTCCCATTAGCACGCATTGTTAAATTCGAAATAAATTTAGGAATTTTTTAAATGCTCCTTAATTTTCATAGATTGCCTTTTGAAGAACCTCATCAGTATTTAGAAAAATTTTATATGGTTTGTGATTTAATTAGTCTCCCTCAAGTTACATCAAAAATTATTAAGATGAAATTATTTCTTCATACACTTATAAATAAAATTCGTCATTAGCTATCCACATTAGATAGAGAATTAATTAGTTGGAAAGACATAAAGTAAGCTTTTCTTTGAAAATTTTATCCTTTAGGAAAAACTCAAAATATGAGAAAACATACATGAAGTTTTTCTCAAAGATCAGAAGAAACTTTACATGAGACATGAGAAACATTTAAAGATTTACTTAGAAAATGTCTTCATCATACTATACCAGAAGTGACAACTCAATAGAATTTTTTATAATAAATTATTAGAACAACATAGAAATATAGTTGACTCTATATATAGAGGAGCTTTTATGGAAAAAACTCCTAATGAGATTTACAATCTTTATGAGAATTTAAGTAAAAATTTTAGAGATCAAGCCTCTTTTGCATTATATGACATAGATAAGAAGAGAAGAATTTATGAATTGCATCATGATGATGATTCTAAATTTAGAAATGAAGTTTATCAGATTAATCAAATATTAGAAAAACTTAATTTACTTATTGAGAATATTAGAAAGCCTCCTAACCTTCAATTGAATACATATAGTACTTGTTCTATGTATGGTAAAAATGATCATTTTGAATTTCAATATCATCCTAAGCAAGAACAAGTGCAAGTACCCCATGATTTTAGTAAAAATAAGGAATATTTTTTTAATTCTTATAATCCTAATTGGAGGAATAAATTTTCATAGAGAAATCCAAATAATATTTAAAATCTAAAAGCACTTAGGTCTAATTTAAATTTTAAATTTCATCCAAAATAGGAACACACATTTAAGAAAAATCAGCCCTCTCAAATCCAACCTAATGTTACAAAAATGATGTAGTAAATGAGCCAAATGGTGCAACAAACTATAAATCAAATGATGTTGTACCAAAAACAAATTATAGAGGCTTTTGAAAATATGAGGAAGAGGGACAGTGATGTGACTTAGTCGTTGTATATTAAATCACGCAAATATAAAATTTATAAAACTAGAAAATATGAATTTCTAGATATTTTGAAGTATTTCTAAATAAATATATCAATTATAATTCAATAAAAAATTCAAAAGTAGCGATAATTTTCTAGGTCGATCATAGGGATGTAATATAATATCTGGTAATTACTCAGAATTTTTCTCAATGAATACGATTTTCTAGGAATTTTATACTAGTAAATAAAAAGGAAATATATTTAAAATTCAAGAAAAAGGTAAATAAGGGCGCGGACGTCAGGATGACGTCAATGCTCAGTGAGCGCAAATTGGGCAGAAATAGAGTTCCACCCGACGATTCTTACGTAAGCGATTACAGACGATTTAATTGATCAAATTAAGATATGTAAAAGTCAGAAGAATCGTAATAGAACAAAGTATATTTTGGTAAATTAAAAACATAAAAATTATCACTAAATAAAATGTAAAGTAAATTGAAAGTAGGAAAACAAAGTTCTGGTGTCGCGACAGCGATGCGTCGGCGATGAATTAGAATCTTGAGCATTTGGGAGAATCGTTAAGCAGTGTCCACGGCCTCGAAGGCTCTCCTTGGACAAAGACGACGTGGGCAATCTCTAGATCTTCTCGCGAAGTCTAGAGATCAATGAAGTGGGTCGTCGAATCGTCTCCAGCGGCTGTCACCCGGTGGAGCAGAAAAATGGCGACTTTGCGGCTCTCTGACGGCTGTCACCCGACGGAGAGGAGTTGGATGGAGGTGGGGCGCGTGTTAAGGAGCTTCATCCTCAAGTCCGTGCAGCAAGAGGAGGCTCTTCATCGCATCTGGTACGCTCTTAGGAGGTGGCGACTCGTCTCCCGGCAGATCGTCTTCTTCCCGACGACAGCTTTTTTGTTGATCAATCCGAGATGATTTACTCGATGGATTTGTGATCCTTTTATCGCGAATCGTTCAGCAATTTTAGTAGCAATGCTCTATGAATTGCATTGACAAGATTGTCGCCGATGATCTAGTGATTCTCGTTGCTTAATCCTTCACCGGTGATCTGCAGGAAAGTCACGATAATTAGATAAAAATATATGAATTTTGACTCTAGAAGGATTCAAACTTGCGTTGGTCGCCTGCCTGTGAGGAGGGTGTGACGCAAGTTTAGTCCCACATTGGTTGTGTGCTGATTTTTCAGGCGAATATATAGTAATGTTAGCTTTGTAAGCAAAGTCCCTTCTCTCGCATGTACGACCACTCCTTGCCCCACAGCCGGCTGGCCACTGGTGACGTGGAAGGGGAGTGGCGTACACGTGCCCCTATCAGTCCAAGCTAAGCCGCTCGAGCCCCTACTTGCAACTACTCCCCGACTGTGCTTCCGACCTGCTTGCAGGTCCGGCTGGTCGGCGGGTCCCCCATTTTGTAATATTTTTATTTTTATTTCTTGTTCTTCATTTATCTCAAAAGTAAGACTGTAAAAATCATATAAAATCACATAATTACCAAAAAAATTCACGTTAATCAACTAAAAACCATAAATCATTCTTTAACACAAATATAAGTCTATTCATCATGAGTTAAGGCTAAAACTATATTATTTACTCATTATTAACTCATGATAATAAAGACTTATCAGATAGCCACCTAGTTAGTCCATAGAAAATTTAAGAAATTATCTAATAGTAGAATTTTAGCAAGGAGAGTCTAGTTAGATAAATTTAGAAAAAAACCTACAAAATAAAAATATTAGGACAGTGAATATATTGAGTGAGAATATTTTACTTGATCCTTATTTCCAATTATTAGAAGAAATTGATGAGCCATTAAAAGTAAATGAGAATATTAAGATTGAAAATATAGTAGCAGAAAATTTGAATAAAATCATTTATTACTCACAATTGATGAACGAATATAGTGAGGATGATGAGGAGAAAGAACCCTTAGATGAAGAAATAGTAGCTAATCATGGAAGAATCATCCAAATTTTAGTAGAAGGAAGTAAGGACAGAAATGAAGAAAAAGATATTTCAAGTGAGGAAAAATTAGTTGATTTTGGAGATGTAGGAGACGAAATTAATAAATCTAATCATAATTTTGTAGCCATGAATGTTGATAGTGAAGATGATGATGTATATCATATACTAAAATTAAAAGATAGCTCTTGGGAAGATGAAGAATTTGATGAGTTGAGAAACAAAAAACTACAAAAAGAGTTGATTTAACTAATGGAGAGAAACAAAAATAATGGATATGAATATAGAGATAATTTTAGAGGAGAAAATTTGAATTCTACTGAATTCATTATATTTGAGATTAAAGAAGACAATCCTTCCATCCTTCAAAACTCACAGCCTATTAGAATTACTTCTAAGCTTGAAATATTTCACTCCTCACAAATTAAACAAATATGTATGGAAAATAAAATGAAGCAGAGGAAGATTATGCAAATAAAAGAAGATATTAAGAAATGGATGAATGGAAGAATTAGAGATATCAATTTAGATAAAAAAATTCTAGATTAGGTAAGAGCTAATTTGAAAATTATATGGCTTTATTAATAGAAAGTATTTATTAATGAATGAGAGCCTTAGAAAATGAAATAAAAATGAGAAAATATTCTTTTCAAAATGCAAAATATTATTTTTGAGAAAATTGTGTTAATTTCTATTTGTTTTTTGCTGAAAGTATGTTAAGGTATATATATGAGGTATATGAATTTACGCTAAATCTGAAAATGAATGTCATGAAACTTACCTTATGATACAAATATATTTTGATAGCTATAGATCATCTTATATGATCTAAGAGCTGTCCAGTTGAAGACATTAAATTTAGCACTTCATGAGAGGTAACCCATGGTTTTTATTTCATTTTATTTGATTTTTTTTTAGCTCTGTTTTTCTTAGAATTTCGCAATACTTGTTTATGTATTTATTTTTTTGAAAAAGTGCAAGAGGAGGAGAGTAAGATGAAGTGGAAAATTAAAAACGAGGTTGAGGTGATGTCTTTCTGAGCTTTATCATTTATGACAACATTTTTAATGCTTAACTTTGCATATATGCATGCTTCACTTGAAAATGATATTTTCTGCATATTTTGCTTCGATTTTTCTATGTCATTGAGGATAATATCATTTTTAAGTTGGGGGCTGAAGTATTTATTATTAATCTATGCTGGAGGATGATGAAGAACATGTGTTTGCATTTTATTTTTATTTTTTCATGCTCACTTAGAACAACAACTAAAAATAAAAAATATATTTTTTTAGAAAAACTACAACATTTATTTTCTAGTTTTCTATCAAGAACAACAGAAAAAAAATAGCCTAAAATTTGAAAGTCTAGAAACCCTTTTCTCACATTTCAATCCCTTAGACATATATTACTGAAATTTGAAATTACAACTATAAAGAGGATAGTTTTGATTTATTTTTGACAAATTTATTGCTACTAAAAATTTAACTAAAAATAGAAAAAAAAACTATCAAAACTATCTAATTTACAAATTTCTTACATCATATTGCATGCATGAAAAATTAAATCAGCATGTGAATGTTGTTTTCTCCTAGTCTTTTCGAAATATTGTTATTTGATTATTTGATTATATCTTGAAAATTCATCTAAGAAATAAAAATATTTTTGACCTGCAAATCTTTCTAGAATTTGATCAATAAAAGGCAAAGGAAAATAATCTTTCTTTGTCACTACATTAAGCTTGTGGTAATCAATGCATACTCTCCATCCTATGGTGAGTTTTTCTTGTAATTCTTCCCCTTTTTCATTTTTGATCACCATCAGTTTAGCTTTCTTTGGAATTACTTGTATTGGGCTGACCCACTAACTAATTGACTATTATAAATAGGGTAAATATTATCAGCATCTAACCATTTAATGATTTCTTTTTTACCACTTCTTTCATATTTGGGTTCAGCCTATGTTGTATTTCCTTAGATGGTTTGGAATTATCTTCTATATATATTCTATATATATTCTATACATGCAAATTGATGGGTTCATCCCTTGAGATCAACCATTGTCCACCCTATTGCTTTCTTATGTTCTTGTAAAACCTGTAATGTTTTCTTTTCCTATTCAATAGTCAATAAGATAGAGATAATCATAGGTAAGGTTTGGTTTGGTCCAAGAAAAATATATTTCAATAGATGAGGAAGAGGTTTTAATTATAAATGTGGGAGATTCTCTAAAGATGATTCTATAAATATTATGTCATGATATAATGCCTCTTTCCTATAATATTTTTGATGTAATGTATGAACATGAAATGGAAGAACTAATTGATCAACTTGCTGAACATCATTCATTTCTTCTATGCATGAATCAATTACGTCAATATCTTCATAATTATCATTATCTTCATGTGGAAATCTTGAACTTTTAAAAATATTTAAAGAGATGTTTTGGCCTTCATATTTTATATTTATAATCACATTTTCACAATTAATATTTGATTTGGCTGTGGCAAGAAATGGGTGTCCTAATATGATTGGTGTATGAGTAAGATTAATTAAAATAAGAATATCTAAAATCAGAAAATCAACTAGAAATCTACATCCTTTAACATAGATAATGACATCTTCTAGGAGACCCCTAGGTGTTTTAATAGATCTATTAGCTAACTGAAGTTCTACTATAGTTGGTTTTAGTTCTCCTAATTTGAAATTTTCAAAAAAAGTCAAAGGTAATAAATTAACACTTGCTCCTAAATCTAAGAGCATATTTCTAAATGTAGTTTCATCCACTTTACATGAGATGAGAGCTGCTCCTAGATCCGTACATTTCCTAGGCAAAGAATGAGAAATAATGACACTAATCTCTTCAAATAAAGATATCTTTTGAGGTGACTTACGAGGTGTGCATAATTCTTTTAAAAATTTTGCATATGTAGGTATATGTTTAATTACATCTACCAAAGGAATAGAGATATAAACTTGTTTAAATATTTTCATAAGCTCTTCATTAGGTTCAGCTATTTTCCTAAGTTTTGGTTCTAATGCCTTTAGAAAGGAGACTTTTTTTATAAGTTCATCTTGCTGTGATAAAATAGAAATGAGTGGTACTTCTGATTTTTCTTCTTTAGATTCTGATTTGTCTTCTTCCAAATTCTCATCATCAGAAATGAAATTGTTATGATCATTATCATCATCATTGAACACTTCATCATCATGAACCTACTTTTTAATAAAATCTGATGCATATGAATCTTTGAGTTACTTTTCACTCCTTAAAGTGGTCACTACTTCTACATTTTCAAAACCTTGAGATGTAGATGGTTCATGGCTACTAGAAGGCTGATTTCATGGGTTCATAATGGGCTGATTAGGAAGATGACCTATTTCATGTTTGGAATAAGTCAAGGCTAGCTTATTGATAAGTTTTCATTATCATGAGTTAATAATTAGTAAATAATATAGTTTTAGCCTTAACTCATGATAAATAGACTTATATTTGTGTTAAAGTGTGAAAAGTAGTTTTCAATTGATTAATGTGAATTTTCAAGTAATTATGTGATTTTATATGATTTTTACAGTCTTACTTTTGAGATAAATAAAGAATTAGAAATAAAAATAAAAATATTACAAAATGGGGGATCTGCCGACCAGCTAGGCCTACAAGCAGGTCGAAAACTCAGTTGGGGAGTAGCCGCGAGTAGGGACTCGAGCGGCTTGGATCGATATGGGCACATGTGCACCACTCCCCTTCCACGTCACAGGTGGCCAGCCGATTGTGGGGCAAGGAGTAGTCGTACACGCGAGAGAAGTGACTTTGCTTAGAAATCTAACATTACTATATATTCGCTTGAAAAATTGGCGCACAACCGATGTGGGACTAAACCCGCGTCACACCTTCCTCAAAAGAGACGGGCGACCGGCGCGGGTTCGAGTCCCTCTAAAGTCAAAAGTCATATATTTTTATCTCATTATTGTGACTTTCTTGTAGATCGCCGATGAAAGATAAACCAACAAGAATCACTAGATCATCGGCGAAAATCTCATCAATGCGATTCGCAGAGCATTGCTATTAAAATTACTGAAGGATTCACGGTAAAAGGATCACAAATCCATTGAGTAAATCATCTTCGATTGATCGACGAACAAACTATCATCGGGAAGAGGATGATCTATTGGGAGACGAGTCACCACCTCTCGAGAGTGTACCAGATGTAATGAAGAGCCTCCTCTTGCTGTGTGGACTTGAGAATGAAGCTCCCTGACATGCACCCCACCTTCATCTAGCTCTTCTTTGTCGGGTGATAGTCACCGGAGAGCCGCAAAGTCGCCGTTTTTCCACTCTATTAGGTGATAACCGCTGGAGACAATTCGATGACTCATTTCAATAATCTCTAGACTTCACAAGGAGATCTAGAGATTGCCCACGTCATCTTTGTCCAAGAAGAGCCTTCGAGGCCGTGGACACTATAGGATGATCCTCCCAAATGCTCAGGATTCTAGTGCATCGCCGACGTATTGCCGTCACGACGTTGGAACTCTATTTTCCTACTTTCAACTTACTTTACGCTTCATTTAATGATAGCTTTTGTGATTTTAATTTACTAAAATATACTTTGTTCTATTATGATTCTTTTGGCTTTTACAAATCTTAATTTTATTAATTAAATCATCTTTAATCACTTATGTAAGAATCGTCGGGTGGAACTCTATTTTCGCTTGATTCTCATTCGTCGGGCACTGACATCATCCTAATGTCTGCACCCTTATTTCCCTTTTTCGTGAATTTTAAATATATTTCCTATTCATTTCTTAGTATAAAATTCATAAGAAATCGTATTCATTGAGAAACATTATGAATAATTACCAAATATTATATTACATCCTTGTGATCGACCTGGAAAATTACTATTATTTATAGAAGTTTTATTGAATTATAATTGATATATTTATTCAGAAATACTTTTAAATATCTAAAAATTCATATTTTCTAGTTTTATAAATTTTAGATTTACGTGATTTAATAGACAACGACTGAGTCACATCACTTACCGATCTCTTTTTCTAACCTAAGAATTGTTTGCTGGTTTTCTTGCCTAATTTGCTCCATCATCTTCATCATAGATGTATTTTTTTCCTGAAATTTTTGCATCATTTGTCTCATAAATTGTTGCATTGAATTATAATTCATATCAAATTGATTTTGATGTAAATAAAGATATTGTGGGCTAAAATTGGGGACTAAACTTGGGAAAGAAGGGGTAAAATTATAGATTGGGAAATGAGTACCTTGCTGAAAATTATGAGTATTTTGATGAAAAGAGAGCTTAATATTATATTGTGGTTGATGAGGAGGTCTAAATGTATGATTAGGTCTAAGAAATGATTGAGAATTTATAGCATGATTTTGAGAATTTGAAAAATGATGCTGATTTTTCCAAAGAAGATTTGACTGATTCCTATGATCATGAAGTGCATATGCATGCTCCTAATCTAAATTTAAACATTGAAATGTATAATGATCAATCCTACCACATGACGAACATCTAGAATATGAATGTTGTCCAGACTGTGTGGGTTCCTTTTTATGTAGTAAATGATCATATAAAACATTCAACTTTTGGTGAACCTCACTAACTTTATTTCTAATGTCTAATGCATCATGATTTTTAACTTTGAACATTCTTCTTTTATTTTCACTATTGCTACAATCATATAAACCAAAGATTGCATGAATGTGTCTCCACATGTTGTATCTATAGTATTTTTGTGCTGTTCAAATATGTCATTATATCATATATGATTTAATTGTCATTTGGCAGTTGTATGATGTGGACATCTCTTTTGAAGCTTCTTGAATCTGTCTTAAGATTCATGGAATGCTTCTCCTGATTTTTGAGTAAATTAGATAATGGCTTTCTGCATGACATGAGTTTTGCCAATGGGATAGAATTTTCTCAAAAATACTTGCTCTACTTTTAACCATGTGGTGATCTCATGTGGTAATGATGTGAGTCAATCTCTAGCTTTATCATGCAATGAGTATGAGAAGAGATGTAACCTATGTACATCTTGAGGAGTATTAAGAATATGAATAAGTTCACATGCAAGTAAAATCGAAGAATATGTTGATGTGATTCCTCATTAGCTAACCTACAAAATTTAGGAAGAATTTATAGAGTGCTATGACAAATATCAAAATGAATATTTGGAAAAATAGGTGGTCTAACCTGCAAAGTAGGTCTATAATAATCACACATAGGTTTATAAGGTTGAGTATTTTCAATATTCTCGCTCTTTTAAGCTAGATGATCCATCTTAGGTGCTTCTCAATCTATACAAGATGAACTTTTTTCTTTTCTACTGTTGGAGTCTCTAATATGGGTGGTAAATTTCGTTCTACTTGTCCCTAAATTCTTAAAATTGTTGGTAGCTAAATTTTCTAAGATTGGTTGCCAGCTGCATCTACCATTCATAAATCAGGTTTTCCAAAATTGAAATCTAGCGATAATCATGACATGAATATATGATTCTAATAAATATGTCAAAGAGGAGTATAGTATCAATGTGAAATTTAAAATATTCAAGTAAATAAATAGAAACTAAAGATTTAAAATTATAACTTATGAAAGAAAAATAGAAATAAAATGAGCCCAATAAACTTATTTTATATATTTTATATTATTTATTTTATTTTTTCAAAATACTATTTAAATAAAAATAATAAAATTTATACTAATGTTTTTTAAAAAATAACTGAAATATGAAAAATAAATCAATTAACACTGATTAAAAATAAATTTCCCTGACAATAGTGCCTAAAAGGTGGTGTGCACTTGTCTTTGTGTTTAAATGCACACTATCTAATAATATTTATAACTAAGACTTAATAAAATATTAGTATAGAAGTAAGTCTCAAGTCGAAGACAAGGAGATTGATTAATCCATCGTGAAAACTGATTTAGTTTATATATAATGTGATTTAATATTTTATAAATATTTAATAGAAATAATAAAATGAAAGGGTGAGCTGAGAAGAATAAACAAAAGGAAGCGAAGAAAAGGAAAAGAGAGAGCTCTCATGAGAGAGAGAAGGGATGAGATCTTTCATGAAAGGGAGAGAAAGGGGGAGGAGGAGAGAAATCTCACGTGAGACAAAGAGAGAGAAAAGCCTCACGAGAGAGAGAGGAAGATCATCGAGAGAGACAAAGAGAAGGAGATTGGTTGAGAGAGAGAAAGAGAAAAGGAGAGATCTCATGAGAGATGGAGAGAAAAGATAAGTCTCATGAGAGAGGGAGAGAGAGAAATAAGACAAATGAAGAAAGAGAGAAATATAGTCAACTTGTTTTCTCTAATGAATGTGTGCTTGAGGATTCACACACATGACATGAACTCAGTTGTGAATGTCTTTAGTTTGTTTTAATCATTGAATGCTCATTAATCAACCTTAATCTCAATAATTTTGCATTCAAAAATAAAAAAATACTTGTTATTCGTAGAACACAGGGAACATGAATACTTCAAGATTCAACTCTTAAAATTAATTAAAAACAAGTTGAAAGTGATCTTAACTTGATCTCAAATGAGTTTTGGAGGATTCAAAAGAAGAACAAAGATCATTCATCAAGTTTTGAATTAGTTTTACTCATTTCAATTGAAACGTGCATGAAATGGAAATAACTTATCATAAAATATAAATAAATGAAAAAAATAGGTAAGTAAATGATGAAAGTAGAAAATAAATTGTTGCCCAAATTTAGTTTGCCTCCTAGGCAACTGGAGACACTAGTGTGGTGGCTTAGTTTCATCTAGATGTATCACACCACGTTGAAAGTCATAGAAGTATCATTTGGAAGTGTTGTGCCACTTGTCGGAGAGATCCACTAAAAGAGGAGTCGATCATGCCATCACCATCGTCTAGAGAGAGAAAGGAACAAGCTTGCCGATGGCTAGAGATGTTGATCATGCAAAAGGAGGGAAGAGTAGATTGTTGTATTCAT